TTTTGCAGTTATGAAGAGAAAAGTTCGGGAGGAAGTCAGAGTCGTAGAATGTAATTTAATACACCCTCTTGAGAATGCGGACGTCTATAAAGTATTAGCAACGACTTATTAACAAGTTAAATATATATATATATTTAAATAAAACGTACCATACCTGGGAAACAAAATTCAATAAATGAAATCGGAACCCAGAGCTTCAAGTTCGGGACGGGAAAAATTATTGATCGGAGGTTCGGCGAAATTATTCAACCCTGTTAATTGGCCTAGCGTGTACCCTCCCGAAATATCCCATTTGTTGATCTCAACATCTCAAGAATATCTTCGACTTTTACTTATCTCCTCAAGAAACTCTCAATTGAGTTTCATATCTGCTATAGTCAGTATGGCATCTTTTGCGACAGCTTGTCGCGTATCTGCTAGACTTACTGCTAGGGGATTGCGACAAGATGCCACTGCCAGAGGTTAGTATTTACCCTTGAGAAATTTTGGGTTGAGTATGGGAGACTAATATTTGATGATGGTAGGACTCAGGACTTCTGCGGCATGCCTAGCTGCCCAGAACTTCACGATGCCGGCTCTTTCTCCTACGATGACCGAGGGAAATATCGCAAAGTGGAATGTTAAGGAGGGAGATTCATTTGCGGCTGGTGATGTCTTACTCGAGATCGAAACTGATAAGGCTTCAATGGATGTTGAAGCTCAGGATGATGGTATTATGGCAAAGATCACAATGGGAGATGGCAGCAAAGGAATCAAGGTTGGCACAAGAATCGGTGTTCTCGCAGAATCTGGAGACGATTTGAGTTCATTGGAAATACCAGCTGATGACAGTGCTGCCCCTCCATCGCCAAAAGAAGAGGTCTCGAAGCCAAGCCCCACAAAGTCCTCAGAATCACAAGCCGAAGCTCCTCCTACCTCGAAGCCATTCACCGAGACTTCCGTTCCCGCGAAGAAATCGTCAGGAAAGGCAAAGAAACAAACATATCCTCTACTTCCTTCAGTCGAACATTTGATTCATGCACGTGGATTAGATGCATCTGATATTGAAAAGATGGTTCCCAGTGGACCTAACAATCGACTATTGAAAGGAGATGTTCTAGCATATTTGGGTTCAATATCTTCCTCATACCCTACCGAACTTTCGCAAAAGATCGCCAAACTCTCCTACCTCGACCTCAGCAATATTAAGATTGCTCCTCCCAAGGCAGTTAAGCCAGCCAAGAAGGATGCACCAGCACCAAAACCAATCACATTCCATCGCGTCGCCCACACTGTCTCCATGAAAGCAGCCGTAGAGGTTCAACAGAGGATACAATCTACACTTGGTGTATTCATACCTCTCTCAACATTCATTGAGCGTGCAGCAGATGTCGCAAATGATGACCTTCCCCGCCCAAAAAACTACAAACCAACGTCCGATGAACTTTTTGACTCCGTTCTCGGGCTTGACAAAGTTAACTCAGCAAATGGGGTTAGAGGAAACTTTTTACCGGAGAGCGGTGCAGCACTTCGCCAAGGTGCTCAAGCATTACAATCATCGAAAAAGAACAATAATATCGATGTCTATGACTTCTTGTCAGGTGTAACAAGGACGGCACCAGTCAAACGCTCGGCACCAAAATCGGAGTCAATTGCAGCAGATGAGTTTTGGGTAACGATTCCAGAAACTGATATGGAGGCTGCGTCAATTTTCATGCAGAGATTCAAGCTTGTCTTGGAACAGGAGCCCGGGAGGTTGATTCTGTAAAACATGCGTGTAGTATACCTAGCTAGATGGAGAATAGATTGATGATACCATGAGAGGATTATTTTCATTGCCACTTTCTTCTACGCCACCTCATTTTCCGTTTGTATGTATGCATGCGAAGGTGACGGATATGCCCGCATGTTTGAAACTTCCCTAATGCACGCTACTTCCGGAAAAGCACACTTCCATCGATACGATATGTGCATGGTTTGCAACTGCTGCCATCCATACATGAAATGAAGAACTGGTCCATTGATTCCTGCACAAAACCATGTACGGTATAGTCGGTGTGTGTCAAATCATGTGATGTTCTCTGTTGAAAGGTAAGTCGATGTTAATTGCCGACGAATTGGTGAGTAGACAGCAGAGACCAGTGTGACGGAGTAGGTTTGCAATTTTCATTTCTGCTAAGGTACTTTGCGTACAGAAGGTTCAGATTATGTGATCCTACATTAGTCGGTATGATGCTATCTTCACATAAATTCGCAAAGCAGGTCGTAAAAACCAGAGCAATATATGTTGCCGGGAGCTTCTGTTCCTCCCAAACTACCTTTGAGCGTGCCTATGTGGAAGATATATACCTTTCTTTCTTCCGTAGGACTTATAGGTTTCTCTTTTTTTCTCTCTCATTTTTACTTATGCCTCATCGCTTGTAGAGTGGTTTCGCTATATATCGCCAACTTTAACAAAATTGCATCGTTTTGACAGGTTTTCCTCTAAGTATTCTGTACCTTCTTGTATCGCTGTCATGGCGAGATCTATTTTTCTTCTTCTTATAACAGACACATCGAGATCTAGAGTTCCGTCAGAACTCAACAGTGATCAGCAAAAACAGGAACATGCCTTGCCTGGTATGACTTATTTTCTGTCATTCAATCCTCGCTCTCTTCTCATGACGAAATGAAGACTCTCTGACTGTCAATAGTAGCCTGATAAACCCACCTAGCCCACGCTCTCTGCCCGAGGAGATTCACGAGAGTGTGATCTTAGCTTCAAAGTCCGTACCACTCGAAGGCCTACTCATAACGGATGCTGCATAGCATTCATATCAACTATGACAATAGGCTAGCGTCTATTGCCACAGGAGATAGGATGCGGTCCTCTCGCAGAATCCCAGGAGGATCATTTCCTTCTCAACATGCACCAATTGATGGGTGCAGACTGGCCAGAACCAGTCACATATACCAGGCAACCTACGCACCGCCGTCGGCACCTATCAAGGATCAATTGGTACTCGGGAGCTTACCTCACCTTGTTCTTTACAATACCAGATTGACTCCGACATTGCTGTCTGCACTAGGAACACGGACACTCAGACATGTCCTCATTTTTTGGGTTGACTGGTTTTGTACACCAGATCTTCCTCAAACAAAAGAAGTTCACGGGGTGGGGAAGAAGGAAATGCAAAGCAATCATTACTTGCTCAGTTCTACGCTTCGATTAGCTCACTAGATAGGATTATGTGTCTTCGGCGTGGAACAGCTGTTTCATCGTTCGACTTCACAAGAACCGATCGTAAACAGGAAGCATATGATAGATGAACGAGCTGCTCCAGACCCAAATCTGTTGATGACAACAATTCGAGGTTCCTACTCCAGCAGAATTTGGGCTCAATTCACATTAAACAATGGAAGGATCGCTTATGGTCCCCAGAATCAACAGTCCATTCGATCCTCTCAGACCCTGCCTTCCTCTGCAGAAGACCTTTAAATTTCTTGACACATAGCAATAGCCCAGCGTGTCCGCGTCAAACAAAGGACATCTCGGAAAAGAGCTCGTTGAAGTTATTACAGCTTTGAAGAACTAAAAGAACATCAGAGCGCGGAGGCTGCATTCTCCATTGTTTTAGTTCCCGAGAATAACATCTCTCAAAATGTCAGGGCTCTCATCGAACAAGGTCCTCATAAAGTTCGTTTGGCAGGAATGACAGGGCAAATTTTGTCACATCATAAATTCGATGCAATCTTTATTGATACGGAGTTCCATGCCAGGAAATGAGAACAAGCAAGACCAGTCGATGCTCCCCACCAGTTAGGGTGCTTAAAAGTCTGTTGATTTTTCTACTTGTTTGCTTTCTTCTCCGTGTGTTGCTGTACATCCTCGTCTTACTACGGTGACCCCTTTCAAGTCTCCGATGCTACTCAGCATCATGCCATATTACCCTGGATTGCCATGCAAATCAAAAGCTTCACTTATGATGCTTAAAAGCTCTCGAGAACTGAGAAGATAATCAAGTACCGCAACCAACAACTAGAAATATCAACAGTCCATAAGCCGCTAAATAACATATTCTTTTTCACCTGCAGATATTGACATGAAAATAGTGCGCCGAAGACTGAAAAGGCTATAAGGTCTAATCGAGCAGCAATATTAAGCCACACAACCCCGAAATTTCGGATTCACACAGAAGATAGATCGGCTGTACTTATATACCTACTCGTACCACGAAGATATGGCAAGTATGCATTTGAATACATTCTCCAACTGAGGCTAGAGAAGTATCTTCACTCAATAAATGTGCCAAGTCGACTGGGAAAAGTTTAAGGAAATTTGATGTGGTCGCTAAAAGATATAAGCTCCCACTATACGGGAAGCCAATCAGTCATTTACCACGGAGGTTTCCTACGGAGTTTGCAATATCGCAACGTACATTTGCTTGGAATAATAATTCTTCCAACCCCTAAATCGTCGAAGCATCTACCACGACCTATGCTTTGACTCATTTTCACATAACGCTATGATATTCCGACATGCATCCTCTCTGGTCGTTTCGTTATGACGAAACTGCCACCTTAAGCCTTTGGGAGTTGAGAGAGAAGTAAATAGCACTCTTGAATGGAGAGCTTTAGCGTCGGTGACCCAAGAGATTGAATTATACACCTCTGCAAAAGACATGCTACCATGCTTGCTAGCATTATGGGAGCCACTAGAGGAAAGAAATTGACACATCATGGGGATACTAACGTGACCACTATATGTACGATGCGTAAGAGACGACCACATACAGTTCGGATGCATTAGGTTTAACGAATGACTTTTGAGATGGGACAGTCATTGTGAAATTTGCAGACATGGCACAGAAATGTTTGAGGATCTATTCTTGTGTACGCTTCATTTGGGATTTTTTATCGGACCACGAAATTCCGGTTGGGTAGTAGTGAGTCTAGGTCACGGAGAATGTTAAGGAGACGATCCAACATCTCACGAAGCAGCAATTGTAGACGCAATTATTTGTTAGAGACTTCAACCTCTAATGGGAACGAATCCCCGATATTTCAGCTCTCAAGGTCGACCGAGTCACCTGGGTAACACATCTCAACAATCGTGGCATATGCTGCTGGATAGACAGCTCTTTGGATGCATTTTGAACCACAAGGAGTCAAACACCGATGTTGAGACCGATGAACCTTCCAATGTATTTTAAACAACGACATCTTCTTCAAGAATGAAGAGAGAATTTCCGTGGTGGATCGCAGTGAACGAGAAGTTCGAATGGTTAACCCAACAATGAAGATATGATAATATCTCAACGCATATGCTTCAGGATTATGTGCATTTAATTGATACATGACGTCTTATCCTTCAGCCTTATCTAGGATTACTTGGCCATCATCTTGCTCTCATTCTCTCTTATGGCTGCCATGTCGACTATCAAGTTCCTGGGCCAGAAAATCGCTTTTCAGAACAGCCCTTCGGCAAAAATGAGTAGGATATTGAGCCTCCATTTGGAAACCAAAGTATCATCATTCACGAAAGAGAAAGGTCATAGAAGGACAAAAACGAGAACAAAAAATGTCTGGGCAGATCCTGCTGTATCTGCAATTACTGCAAAGCAAGACTTCGCGGATGAATTCTCAGTCTTCCTCGAGCTTGTCACTATGACACATGGAAGAGGGTGTCAAAGATGATGGCATTGAAAGAAATAATACACGGGATCTTTTAGCCAGAGTCCCTTATGCGAAGGCACGTGAAGATAGGTGTCTTCAGCCCGGTGATATTCAAAGATCCCGACCTCGACCCCCATGTGGCATGAATCAAATCACAATTATGGGCACTTCTTTGGTGATAGCAGTAGGTTCAGATGAGCTGATCTCCTCGCATACACCAAATATACGAGTGCGATGGTTCTGGTGGCATTTGAACTGGTGGAAAAATAACCAAATCGAGGAGTTCGCCCAGTGGTCTTGCAACACGCTGCAGACTAATGTAACGCGAGAAAAGCCGAGGGGTACCATAATTTGTACGTTATACTAGCAATCCCATGTTCAAGATCTAAGAAGACCAAAAGATGGGACAGGTTGTTCTTGAATCAGCACAGCAAATGAGAGTGTAACAGTATTCTCGTGGAGATACTATACATTGCACAATTTATTTCGCCGATTCAACTCTGTTGTCTAGCCTAGCACCTTCGGAAATTAAACTTGCCTCGTCTACTATAGGGCAAGAGCAGAAATTTAGGAATTGGCTGACTCAGAAATCAATTACGGAAGTACGAGTTCCCGGCTGGTAGTTAGAAGTCCACTAATAACAAGTCAAACAATCTAGAAGAGCATCCAATATTGCTCCAGCTGTTCGACAATATTTGCGCGAATAAAGAAGTGGACTTCCTCAAGGCCCAGCCATATTGGGTGCACAATACACCTATTGATAGTCTTGATTTTCCATAAGGGCAATGACTAGTGGTTACAACTGGACGAGTGATATGTCGAGAATGAAGGAAAATATTGGGTATGCAACAGAATCGAGCCAAACATTAACGATGAGAAGATGAGAAGATGAGGTTACTCTAATCGCTGGATACATCTCTTCCATAGAAATTTTTCTCCCTGGAAGATGCAAAGTCCACGAAAAAAAAAGGAACTGAACTTATATCTGATTGATGGCCCGTTAAATGAATCTAAAAATGATCCCTACGTTTTAAAAGAGATGTTCCAGGGAGCGTGTCATCAGCAGAATAACGGGTTCAGTCCAAGGTTCTACAGGCTAAGATCAGATCACATGGATACTCGCCACTCCGGCTATTAGAAAATATCAGGGGTTAGTGACTAACATGCATTAATTGCTCAACGCGAACTCATGTGATTTTGGCAGTGCTCCCCATCTTGAACTCCTAGATTGAGTCACTGATGAACTACATTATACGATTGCTGGTGGTGCTGAATCACCAATGAAGAAAAACTGATTCATTGGTCAATAAATATGCATGGCCTAAACGATTCACTACCCCATATATGTTTCCCATCACGGAAGCACTCATCGAAGAACTCCCTTCTCCCCAAAGGCTTTTTTGAGACATCAAAGATCTCTATAACAGCTTCAAATTCTTTGTTTTGGGGGTGAACTGAGCTGGAAGATGAGATTGACATGGGCTCTAATTAAGAGTCACAAGCTCGGTCTTACCTTTGATTAGCTGGCTGTGAATATGAACCTCGATGGACTCTTTCTTTCAATTGCAGGTTAACGGAAACTTCAGAAGGCATGGGGAGCTGTCTAAGCAAGGAACGACTGGAGACGGTAACACCAAGGATTGAGATACTTCATCTTCACCCATAACAACCTTAACTACATACTCCCAGGCTACTAAACGCCGGAAGATACCTCCCTTTAGCATCACTTCCAATATCTGGCATCGCTCGACCTTTTCCAGGTGATGACTATTTAACGTCCTTAATGAGATTATCTTTGAAGGTATAGACATTTCAAAAGACGGCAGACAGGATCATCGAGCGTATCAGGATCACGCCAGGATCCATAAAACAATGTACCAAAGGTTGCTTTTTGATTTGCTGATTGGAGAAACCATCACACGGAGCTAATCATGATCTTCGTGTGGAGAATGGATGGTTTCTCACATTCAAATTTCCAATGATTCCCGAGCCACCGAGAGAATACTGGAGTTGATAGATCTTGCAGCGAATCCCATGAAAGTTCGACTAAGGTTAAATGAAGTGTGAACAAGACAAGGAAGACAGATCGGTTCCGAAATTGAAAATATTGAGATTGCGTACCCAGAATCAGCTATTCGTCTTAGAAGTCGACAGCCACAATTGGCGCTCTCAGTAGCAGTCAAATGTCAGCGCCATGGAAGTTTGTAATCATTGTTACATACGATATTGAATTTCATGGGAGAAGAAGCTTCTTAAAGTCAAGAGAGGGCAAGGAATTATTGTCGATTTGCCGCGGATTGCGATAAAAATAGCATTGTAAGCTTGGAAGCTTCCTGTGCCATACGAAACACACGCAAAACATCTTGGATATCCACATAATTGACTCCATACTTCCAGCGACGAGGACGGAATACTTGTAGGAAGTACGAGAATTAAATAAGATCCCATCTTGACGAGCAGAGAGCTGCATAAAAATTCGACAAGATGCGCTTTCGGGTGGTAAGAGTAGAAACACTACCATACGCAAGTACGCTGCACAATACTTCATTCAGGGACAATTTCTCGCTGGAGATGTGATGGGGCTATCGATTGGAAGGCATTTTTACCGGATCGAGATAAGCTATTGAGATAAAATTGACTTCTTGTATTTTATCGGAAATCAGTAATGTTACATGACATTAGAAGATCGATTTTTATTAGCAGATTAAGGGATCTCCGATCCGAAAAAATACAGCATTCGAGGAAGATTCAGATGTTTGTAGTATTAACGTTAGCTCGTGCTGACAGATGAAGCTCTTCGAAGATACAAAGAGAAGTGCATGTGACGAATATCACAAAACAGTCCAGCTTGAACTAAGCGGCATTTTGTGATGTACGAGATAAAGACACCCCTTAAAGCTCTCTTTCCTCTTTAGCTTTCTCATTCTAGTTGATTTGACCTCTATCGATACGCTCTAGCATGTGATCGTCACACTGAGTTCAATATGATACAGGCACTAAAGAAGAAAGAGGAAAGAAGGAGGTGCTTTGCATTCTAGAAGAAAGCCACTAAAGAGCAATTAGAATATTGCTAAGAGCTGAAGAGCTTCATTTCCAGGGATCTTTTATATCTTTGGAAGATGAGTTAATCAGTAGAGAAAGTATTGCAGCAGGATAGGGGAGGTAGTGCCCGGAGGGTCAATTTGTGTTCTCCGAATTCACCATTGTTTCCCAAAGCCGCTCACAAAATGGTTAGGACTAACTCCTTCAAAGTCGAATCCAGAGAATCATGGTGGGATACTCGAAGGGATTTTGTGACCATTTATCCACAAAGAGTTCCCAGATGTACGAGCATTTTTTGTCAGCATTCTTGGTCGAGGTATCCTTTCCAGGAAAAATGTCGCACGACTTAAGTAACAATGTTGGACGACTATCCGCACAGGATTTTGCAAATCCTGGATTGGTTCGCATGCTGAGATCCGCTCAGATCTAGAACCAGCGTCTCAAGCATCGATGGGTGCCTCGCAAAGCGCTCATTCGAATAAGGGAGCCGAGGCTCTTGAATTACTAACAGTGAGTGTGGAGGTGGGACAAAAGTGATGTGCTTTCAAGTCTCATATCGACAATGGTACTAGTCCAGTGTAGATTACCACTGGAGGACATGAAATACAGTTCTTCGCGCCTCTTACACCACATCATCTTGGGATCTTCATGCGAAATATTGCTTTCATCTACCCAATGAAATTTCGGCCAGATAAAGAGAGAGAAAGATCGGACAGATCGAGAAATTATGTTCTGACTTTTCAATTATGAGAAATGAGAAATGGTCGAATTAGGTCACAGAGATTGTCCAATCAACAATTATCAAACCACGGCCAGTGCATGGCATTCCTTAGATTCAGTATAAGCACCAAAGGATCGAAGCATCGTGCTGAACATGAACGATTGGAAACCTAAGCTGCAAAATATCAAGATTGATTGTTTCGACTTGCTTCTGTGATGATTTGTCCATCAAAGAATGAAGAGTTCGACAGCCCGGTATGTTGACGTACACGAACATTATGCCCATCATTAATGTTGGTAAACATTCACACCAGGACATGGGGATTTTATGACCATGCAAGAAATGCGTTCGAGATCGACATGCATCTAAACATCATAGCTTTCTGAGATCTGCACCGCATTTATTAAGATGGTCCTTGTGTGAACAAATTGGGAATGAATGGTCTTAAGTCACAAAAGAGCTAGCCCTACAGCAAGGCCTATTTAGGATCACTTATTCTGTACGTAGCTGGCTCTTTAGATTGAATACACATTGACAACTAGAACCTACATTGTAGGTCCTACGTCATTCATACTCTTCTCAAACCAACAGTCCTCAAGGTCCCACCTCCAGTGGTAATTGGAGAGGAAAATTGGCCCTCAAACAGATGACCCTGAAGTGTATGGAAATAAAGGTGGTTGGTAGATTTGTAGCCATATTCAAGGGGACTTTCACTAGCTCTGGAGGAAATCCAAAGGATTCGCAGCTCGTGATGTGAAGCGTCATTTCACTCAGTACTACAAACACGCGATGATCTTCGAGGAGATCATCCAAGGGAACGAATTCTACTTGAAGTCGGACAGCGGCAGTTATTAATAGGGAAACAGCACGTGATATGTTATTGCATTGACTAGTGGGTTGATATTCAACCTCACTGGAAGTTTTTGAAAATCATATTGGTACGACAGGCCGTTCTGAGGCCCTGAAGCCGAAACTCCATCAGAATCTCGTTAGTGGAGCTGGTCTAGAGGTATTGTTTACAGATGTTCCAGCGGGAAGACAAGGGTCGTACTGCCGTGGAGCATAAGAAGAGCATCGAGAATATCATTTCACCTAATACTTCACCAAGACAGAAAGTTCCTCCAAGAAGGAGCAAGAACAAATTGCAATGCAATTCTAGAGAAGAACCAAAGTCTTCGCTAGGTGAGGATTGAGGCGAATAGAAGACTCAAGTGGGAGGACAGTGGAGGGAAAGAAAAGAAGAGAAGAGAAAAAAGAAAAGAGTAAAAGAGAGCTTGGGTAGGTTGGAAGAAATCCGCATTGAAGTTTATCAAATGGCGCTTGGAAATATAACAAAGGCAGCTAAGTGTGGTTCCTCGTAAGATGTCCTGCTTCTTCCAATATAAAGGTTCTCTGCCGAAGTAAAATGGCGGTCGCAAATCAAGGAAGAATTGACACCATTTTAAGAAAAAGGAAAGCATCTTTCCAGCTTCAGAGGGGATATATTGGAGGTAGTCGTTGGTTCCCAATACTAGATTACATGATATTTGCGGGGAGAATTTGGCTAAATTTGCAGGAAGTTAATCTTTGGAAGGAACATTGGAAGATACGAGGCACAACATCGTTGGCAAATGTACAATTGAAGAACAAAGTTGTGATATTTGTCAACAGCGCGCGATGGCACCAGGGTAAGACGTATGACCTGGTCCGCATTAAGACCTTATATGGCAAGTGAGGGGTTTGCTCGTTTTAAGAGAGTTCATTGTGGATGTAGGTAAAAACAGAGAGGATTCAATATCCTAAGAGAGTTGGGTACTTGTCTTCTTGACTCTTGAAACTAAATCAATCTAAGCTAGATATTGCAGTGTTTGAGTTCAAGATGGGAAACGAGGTTGATGAATGAAGTTAATGGCATTGAATAATACGAGCAAGATGTGTATTGACACGATAAACTTTGAACGTCAAGCTGAACGTCAAATTATGGTTGCGAGAATAGATATTCCAACAGAAAAATTATGAACCATCGACTTCGAAGGTCATGTTTCAGTGTGAATAAGTAAAGACTTTGTGAATTGAGACAGGGAGCAAATCTATGAAAGCCTGGAACCATTTTGTTATCCTCCATGACTCCATGAAACCATGAGAAATCTTAGGTAATTCAGCAGCCGGCCGACCAGCTTGTCGGAAATCGAGATGTTTTGTGACATGTACACCAGGATTTATTCCGACTTGCAATACGGAGTTGCCGGGAGACATCTGTGTTCACATAGTTTGAGCCTATATGCGGCTTACCGAGCTTCTAAGCTTCAAGCTTTCGAATATCATGTCTATCTATAGCCTGATTGAGCTTGAGATATAAGCTTTACTACCCTAATTTAGTAGAGCGGACATTAACTTTTAGAGCCTTATAGGGCCTTACAGCATGCACCACCTAGAAGAGCCTATAATCTCATCCGAAATGACCGCAACCTCCGTAACTACCAAGCTCATCGTACATAACTAGTTCATCCTAACTATGGTACGCTCGGGACTGCGCCTGCGCCCCTGAGCGACACCCGTCACCTGATTTGGCTAACCACTTTAGTGCTAAGCAGACCCATAAATGTGGCTGGTGATTCGCCAATCTAAATGGCTTGGCTGACATCAAGCTAATCCACCGACAACAAAAAACAACAAACCTGTTGAACTAGCTGCCGGCTGTGCCCACACATCTACGAAATATACATCGCATCGTGGATACCGTTCCTGTGCCTTGATTTAGTTGGTACCAAGATTGCAAATTCAAGCCGTGATGATGATCTTGGGAGCTTTGCGGTGAAGATCTCTCAGATCATGGATATAAGGTAAGGTACCAGAACCGGTAGGGCACAATTCTTTCTTTTCATCCCTATCTCTTTCCTCTCATCCATCTCAAGATGCGTTCCTCAGTTCTCCTCACACTCGCTCTCCAAGCTACTAATGTAGTCTCTCATTCACCCAATTCCTATTCTTTCGATCCATTGGAGCATCTAGCTGGAACTGCACCACCATTCGATCCTCAAGATCCACCTACTGATCCTGCTCCTCCTCAAGGATGCAACGTAACTCGAGCTGCATATCTTGTTCGCCATGCTGCAATCTATGCTAATGACTTCGACTACGAAGAGTACATTGAGCCTTTTGTACAGAAGCTCGCAAACACATCTGTGAACTGGGCGAGCATTCCAAGTCTTTCCTTCCTCTCAACATGGCAAGCTCCTATTACCGATCCCGAGATCGAAATGTTGACCAGATCGGGTAAGTTGGAGGCCACAAACTTGGGTGTGGATATCGCGCAGAGATATCAAAGTCTGAGAACTCCAAACAAAATATGGACGTCCACTGCAGAAAGAACCGTGAAGACTGCGCAATCTTTCTCCAATGGTCTTGCAGACGATGCCTCAGATATTGAGATTGTTCAAGTATACGAAGGAAAGAACTCGAGCGCCAATTCCTTGACTCCATACAAGGCTTGCCCGGCATACAGTTCCTCGGGTGGAAGCGAGGAATCTGGCGAGTTTCAAGAAGTCTATACCAAACCCGTCACCGCCCGTTTCAACAGTTTGGCTCCCGCTTTCAACTTCACATCCAACGATGTTTACGGCATGTCCCTTCTCTGCGGATACGAAACCGTCATCCGCGGCTCCTCTCCTTTCTGCGACCTCTCCGTCCTTTCCCCTACCGATTGGCTCGGATTCGAATACACAAATGACATTCAATATTTCTACAACACCGGCTACGGACACGAAGCATCAGGCGCCATTGGTTTCCCATGGGTCAACGCCACCTTCAACACGCTCATGACTGAACAAAACAACGCCTCAAACGCCACCACAGATCAAGATCTCTACATCTCATTCACCCATCGCGAACTCCCCCCACCGTCATCGTCGCGCTTGGTCTCTTCAACAACTCGGCCTACTCCGGCGCCAACAATATCAACGGCACCATGCCCCTCAACACCATCAACTACAACCGCGCTTGGAAATCCAGCGCCATCCTTCCCTTCCTCACAAATGTCGCAGTCGAGAAGATGGAATGCGATAGCTTTGGTTACGATGCCGGAACCTACTACAGAGTCTTGGTGAACAACAGTCCACAGGATTTGGTTACTTGTACCGGGGGACCAGGAACAAGTTGCAAGGAGGAAGATGTTCAGGATTGGCTGAGCGAGAGAGCGGAAGTAGTAGGCTCTTTTGTGGATGTTTGTGGTGTGCAATATGATAATGGGACGGATATTTTCAGTATTTATTAATTTTTTAGAAGATAACTTAACTTCGTTTCTGGGGATAGGAGGTCATTTAATGATTAATGGAATATAATATACGTTTTAAATACTTTCTCGTTTACTTATGTAGTGACGAGAGCCATGTAATAGGACAGTGCTATTTTTTGTACCACCGATACCAATATACACTTGTGGGTAAAATCTAGTCATAATTTGTTTATAGGCATTACTTCCTAGACTGTTACATACACACATCTAGATAGCATTTCCAAGCTGTCCCACCCACCCATCCATCCATCTAACCCATTCCTTCCCTGCAAACCCCAAAAATAACGACCTCCCTCCCAATCTATCCCGCCAAAAATAATAACAGAAAAAAAAAGCACCAAAATCATTCGTTTATTCATTACCACCCACTCGCTGACTCTTGTTTAAAAAATAAAAAAAGTACAAACCTCCTCCCTATTCCCCCGATTCCCTCAACGCGAGAACCCCTTCAAAAAGGCTTCGAGAACATCTCTCCTCTTCTCCTCCACCACCCTCCTATTCCTCTCTTTCACCCCCACACTCCCCTTAAAAACTATCCCTACAAATACTTCCGCAAAAGCCCTATTAACTTCTCTCCTCCTCACTGCTGCCGGATCTTCCGGAAGTGGCGCTGCTCTCCCCTTCCAACTCAGCGTTCTCTTGACCGAATCGAATCCGATACGAACGGCTGTGTCGAGGGAACGTCTTACTTTGGGTATTGGTGCCAATTCTCCCGCTACACGGGAGAGTGTTGAGGTGAGGAAGACGAATGAGATATTGTGATGAGGCAACGAGGAGAGAATATCTAGTAGCCACGCTTTTGTTTCTTCGACGTCCGATTGGGTATTTACTCGAGATGTGATATCGGAGTCAATTTGCTCGCATAGAGGTGCGGGAATAATGCCATCAGTAAGACTGCGCAAGAAGAGGATGAGAACTTCTGCTACAATTTCGAGTCGATGGGCGGCTGGAATTTCGACGGGGAATATATCATATATACTTTGATCGGCGTCGAGAGCTGTTAATACTTGACTTCTCAAAGCGATCCTAGTAGGTTGATCTTTGTATCGCCATGTCTTCTCATCAAATGGCCAACCGGGAGAATCTCTAGGTATCATTGCCCCTTCCAACATGTTTGAATCAGCAACGACACGATCAGTGAGAGAATCGACGACTTGTGTGAGTTTAAGTAATTCTCGAGGTGCAGACCAAGTCACTTCTTGGCCTCTATTGACCGGAGGTCCAGGTTGGCCTCTTGGGCGGGGTAATAAAGCTCGCACACCACCTTCTGGTATGTGAATGAGCTCTTCAATAGATCGTCCTAGACAAGATTGGAGCCAATTACCCTTGATTGGAATAAAATGATCTCTTCCATCTGTAACTCGTAATACCAATACATCTTCGAGTAAGACATCTCCGTCATTCAATGACTTAACAGAGGAAGGATCGTGCACTAAAACCTCGAGTGTGACATTTATCGCATCCCCAGGTTCCAGTGTAACCTCTCGTTTAAGATCTTGCAAGGCTCTATCATCTTCATCCATAGAGAATCCTGCAAACCATACACTGAGCCACGACGGTGCAATTCTGTCTTCTTGGCCTTCAACACCAGGTCTATCAACAAATGCAAATGTAGATGTGACTTGGCTCGTATTTGCAATTGTGATGTTTCTAGATTTTCGGTGTTCGAATTCCACATCACCAAAATCAACAGCTCCATTTCCGTCATCTGAATTCTTCCGAGATTTATCACTTCGATTACTTTCCTCCGAATTCTGTGAATGGTCTATGACAATGGTTATTCCAGGCCGAGCTTCATTCTCCGCTCGATCAAGGTCTCTAGCAACCTCTTGCTGTACTTTTGACTTTAGTTCGGGTACGACTGCGTCATATTCCAAGGTAAAAACAGCATCAAGTGGTTTGTGATCTGATGAGAGAACTCGTTGATGTGAGGTATAAATATCCAAATTTATTCGATCCACAAATCCATCCCTGGTTATTACTGGTGCATTTTCATTGTCCTCAGTTTCATCGTAGTCGTCATATTCATCATAATCATCGCTCTTGGAAGGCGTGGCCTGTTGCTCCCCATCTTCATCTGGATCATAGCTAAAAAGGACATCTTCATCGTCGGTGGCATGATCCATTCCTTGAGCCCTCATTTCTTCATCTTTTATTCTCGCCAATGACTCTTCATTCATCTTGGCATCAAACACCAATTTGTCTCTTCGTGTTCTGAATAGAATTCTATCACACCAACTTGGAGCCCTCTTCTTCTCACTAGAATCGAAAACTCCCATGCTCCCTACATCGTATTTGTATGTTGGAAGGAATGTTACTGGCCCTTCTCTCCAGCCGTCGTGAAACGCCCTTCGAGCTTTCTGCACATGCCTCAATTGGTCATGTGGTAATAGTGAATCGATGGTAGCTTGTAATGAGGCAGGATCTTGGCTTGGATCTTGTATAAAATCGTCTGGATCCGGAAGCGTGGTCACAGTAGAAGAATCGTCGTTTGGGTCAAACGTGCTACTGCTTTTACGAAAGTCTTCCTCGGATTCGTCATCACTATCGATAGACCTTATTACAATCGGTCCGTCACCAGCATCAATTTCGTTATCAATCTTCTTTCTTGATCGCGACCCAATTTCATATTCTCCCTTCGTATGAAGCATTAACAATCGTCGAATATCGTCTCCCGGTAATCCCTCCAATCTGAAGTTCAGATCACCAAACCAGAAAGCAAAGTCTTCATCCCCAATGCTCTCCTGTGCATCATCTAGAACTCCACCTCGGCTTATAGGGTCGAAATGCGTTCTTTGCAATATTTGTGAGACATCCCAGATTCGCCTTTCCAAATGCGCTTTATCCGTTCCCGAAGCCAAATGCGAATTTACGAATACAAGTCGAGTTGTTTCTCCCAGTACTATCCTAGTAGTGATTGCGCCTTTGTTCCCTAGATATCCCATGAATCCAGTCCCAATACTGACGGTACTGACAGAACTTATCGTAGGTGCAACAGTTGGAGATGCGTAGATAAACATGAGTAGACCAGAGAGCTGCTGTTCGGCCACTAAAGTGTAACCTTCTGGTAAAGCCCCAGAAAGTGCTTTCCTCCATATCGTTACAGGATTGTCATTCGAATAAACTTTGCCAATATATTCTTTCGCAGACGTGAGCTGAACAACTTCTTGTAATCCCAAAACATATAATCCGACATCTTCTCCGCCAGCAATTATACCTTCGTCGCCAAGCGGGATTGTCGACTCTTTCTTCTTCCTCCTTGATTCTTGTTCCTCGACACTTTCTATATTCGATTGACTATGCTCCTTCTCAATCGCATTGGCAATATCAAGCCCAGCTAGTCGTTTGTCAATCCCTTTGCCTTGCACAAACCAACCTGCGAGATCTTTCTCCGTTCCAGGACAAGCAGCAACATTCCAGCAACCAATCTTTATTTTGATTTTGTGCGGTCGAGTATATTCGTTTCGTCGCGCATAGACGGCTTTCGAGAGGGATTGTGGACTGGAAGTCGTAGGCAATTCGACTTCGACAGGTTCCTCATCTATCGAATCTCTCGTGTTCGAGGCCATCTTTGAGGCTTTATAACGGTTTGTTTAGTGATAACAGTCAAATCAAAATTTCATAACATGTTGATTTTGCGTGGCCTATTTCCTTTTTACTCTTTCTCGAAGATCGTGCTCGAATTTCTTCTTCTCCGGTGTCTTGCTTTTTCCCTTTTGTTCTTCAAATACCCGGGATTGAATGACGTAGGCTGAAAGCTCACCGGGGGTGGTATCTTAAGAAGAAAATGAGGGAGCGTTTACGATGTAGTGATTGAAGGCAAAACAGTTTCGCAGTCAGAATAGCAGAAAGGTGTGTGAGTATTTCAAAGTCAATGAATGAGTGTGTGAGAGAATGAATGCCAGTTGATGTAATCATGTAAAGGATAAAAGTAAATAAATCAAACAAATACCGGTACAGGTACCTAATAACTACACAACTACCCAACTATCTAGGTATACTTTTCTATTATTGTACGGACCGAACCTAAAGTCATTGTAATTGTGGTACTGATGGTACTATAGATGATGCCAATGGTGATTAATTCCTTGCTGGTGGGGGTCGTTCTAGAAGTATTAGAGCCCACTTGTTGCCCACTTGTACCCCCTTGTACCCTCTTGACGGGTTGGATTTAGTGTGTTCAGGTGTCCAGTCATCATCATAATCAAAAGGTACAGGCTAGGGTAGGGGGGTCCATTTCACATTTCACATTTCACATTTCCCCATCTATTACCGCGAGGCTGAAATCCTTCTTCCTTTATGACAATACAGACCAACATCTTCCCGTCCCATAACACATCAAACGTCATTCACAATACGGCCATTCTTTGCATTACGAGCGCCGATTCGAAACCGTATTCAGTGTTCCATACCGGTTAGAGCAACTTATCCATCTATCCATCTAACTGTCTTGCAACTTCATCTCACCACTTGCGCAGCAACAAATCCACGACATCAACCACTTATCTACCAGCAAACGGTAGACTTACATAGGATAGCTATATCCTTGACCTATAATCTACCACATCTCAAGTCTTCTATCCTCGCATAAATCAAAGCCGTCAAAATGACGCCTCGAAAGCCTCGTCAGCGTCAAAACCATCCAGGACCCTCTCAGTTAAGCCAAGTTCAAGCTTCCGACTATGATACCGAGACACCAATACTAGGCCCCGCACCTCCTACTCGTACCAACGAAGAACTCAATCTATCCGTCCTCCGGCGCTATCATCCATCCATCCAAAAGATTACTTCACTTGCGGCATCTGCCACTATGTATATGTTTTCTCTAGAGTCAAAAACTTGGGAGAAACTTCCTATCGAAGGTACATTGTTCGTCTGCGAGCTTTTACCCTCACCCACAACCGGTGCTGAAGACCACTGCATTGTGGTCCTCAATCGCAAGGGCCTTAATAATATCATTCACGATTTCAGCGAAATGAACAATGTTGAGATTAATGGGGAGTATTTATATTGGACGGTTGAAAAGTCGGAGACGGTCGGAGGTACTCCTGTTGCGAAGGCTTATGGTATATACATTCATGATGATGAGACGGGTACGAGAGTCGCGAACCAATCGGAAATTCTCAAGAATTGGAAGAAGACACAAGCTACCATGCTTGACGTGCAAACGATGGAGAGTATGGTAGAGAACCATGGAAATACAGAATCCCAAGGACCTCAGACCCAAATTCCAACCAGCCAAGTAGAAGCTCAGGGAGGTAGGAGATTGAGCATAACAGATTTATTTGGTGCTCGTTGAACAATCTCAACAAGATAGCTATCAGAAAAAATATTATTCGCTACGTTCAAAACCTGGTACTAAATGGGGAAACACCACGATCTTTCGCCTATTCATACCACATTCATAGCTCCGAACGATCTCTGAGAGATCATTGAGTTTTACATCATGTGTTGTTCCACGGCTGGTACCAAAAATGATCGTTGCTGTCGAGCCGTGGTAAAATGAGAAGAACAGCAAAGGTGGGCATTAGGAAGAGTTATAGCAAGATGGTAACCAAAATAAGATCCAAAGGTCTAAGGAAAATCGTTCATGCGAAGGATTCTACAAATGTCTGTAGTAAACCATCAATATAACACAGGCTTATGAAGAGGCCAATGGCATTTCACCATTTGTGTGTTTTTCCAATCTTGTCTCTTTGCAAGAACATTTCAGCGAAATTCTATTTCTGTCGTTAGTACAAACGTGATGTTTTAGCAGCCTTCGAAAATGACGAGCGACATCCATCCACCGGGTTTGCCACACATTGAGTCATCAAATCTGCCGTATAAATCAAACACAATGTCAAGCTTGTTTACACAGCAATGCTCGACCATATCGCTCGAGGATGATATTTGCAAATTCATGTAAATCTTGCAAAGAGAGCATCTATATATGTAGACTGTGATTATTGCTAGATCGATATTTATTCACTTTGTTCTGAGCAGCCACGGTCAAGGAGTACTTGATGCGCAACACTATATAGTATTGCCTTACCAAAACTGTCTCCTCGCAAATACATATACATTTCGCTGGTACCTATATACAGCCCACAACGTCCCTATCAAGGACCCAACAAAGATTCTTCCAAGTCTAACCACTTCTGAACCAACATCACCAGTTCTTTCCGAAAGTCAGATGTGTCCAGCCACGTTTTTCGTGAGTTTGGCAAAATGGCCGATATACAATCTGGAAGAAGCCAGTGATTAAACATATTGTGCATCCTACTCAGACCACTCAGACCGGAAAACTCCCCAATGGTAGGGAGGTTTGGTTTGTTTCTCGATTGCCAAAGATCCCATTCTTTGTATGCTAGTAGGATGAGCGTGGCTAGGATACAAAGAAAAATAAACTGAAGTATCAGAAAAGTGTAGTTGAGGAAAGATCGAATTCGAGAAGACTGACGAGACTTGAGACTTTGGATGGTTTTTCGTATTGCATCATTCTCAGTACGTGATCTTTTCCGTCTCGCAGAAGAGGATGGCGATTCACATGCCTCATGCGCATCATACCACACCTCTCCCAGCTCCTCACCCTCATCCTTATCCTCATTCTCCCCGCCCCCCAAACCCTCTACATGATCCGCCACCGTCAAAACATCCATAAAAATATCCTCTAAATAAACCCCCGCACATAATTCAAAATGATTACACCTCCCCTCCCCCACCACATATCCCCCACCGCATCCTCCCAACCCACCAACCGATGCGTAACCAACCCCTCCTCCTCCCCCATCTGGTCCCACCTCACCGCATACTCCTCCCTACACTCCAATCTTGGAAACACACTACTAAACGCCCACTTATTCCTCATCAAAAACTCTCCCACCCATCGCGGTCCCCCCAGTAACAAAACCCCCGGCTGCGATACCGCAGCAGCGATCGTCTCTAGATATTCGGTTTGATAGTCGCAGCTGAAATCGAGGTGGTGTCGCTCAAGTGAATAGTCGATTACGTGCAACCATTCGAATTCTCGATTCGCGTGCGCGGCGAGGTGTGTTTTGCCGATGCCGGAGAATCCGAGGATTATTTTTGCGCGTTGGGGTGAGGGGGGGAGGTGTACGGGTTGTGGTTGGGGAGCTTTGAGTGGAAAGCGGGAGTGAGGGGGGGTGGCGAGCTTGAGGAGTGGGTGTATTTGGATGAGGGAGGTGGAGCTGTAGGGGGTGCTATGGTTGTTGCTGTTTGTCTCGCCATCCGGAATTATTTGTGCGGTAGTTTGGTTTTGCAAATATAAAGTCATGTTTGGAGAATTGAGTAGAGGAGAATATCTCATTGAATTCATATTTCAGTTTCCAAAGTTGTTTTGAGTTTTTTTCGCGAGTAATGATAATTTCTGATGGTTTGCAGCCACAAATCATCGTTCTCGTCATAATCCTCTCGAAATTTAGGGAATCGATGCAAATGGATACTATCCGAATCTGAAAACAAGGAAAATATACTTCGAGGAACAATTAATCTATCGTGTCTTACCTGTTCTATCCAAGTAGGAAAAATGTCTGGGTGTGGCTGGCAACATTCCGAAAGCGTCGCTTAGATCAGGGGATGTTAAGTATAGGCCGTCTTCAATTATTCCGAGAATTTCTTCGTTGAGAACTTCGAAATTGAGTATGGATTAATGTCAATAACAATAACAATATCAAGATTAAGTAATTACTAGGTCCTCAATCATCCATTAAACAATCACATCCAGTTTTCTAATTCCCCACCATCCACTCAGCAACCTCATATCACCTACAAATCCCCGTCTTTAAAAGATACACCCGGAAAATCCACACTCAACTCTCAAATTCCAACGCATAAACATACGACATAACAACCTTCCTACATATCCAGCACCGAGGAACGAGGGCGTTTATATTACTGGCTCTGATATTTGCGGTGCTCATCTGCAAGTGAGATTCAATCGCACGATGACATGACATGACGTAACATGGCTATCTGCAAGTCAGGTAAGCGTTGATGTTTCTGATAGAAGGGATTGAGAGTTGGGATTATCGACAACAATACGTGATTGATGTATCTGTTGCGTTTTTGAGGAGTTTTTGAGGCTTTTTGATATTTGAAGAATGAAGATTGTTAGAGTGGTGATTCCGCGTGGGATATTGTCATATCGTTGGTTTACTGTAGTACGCGAGGAGAAGCAGTTTCCCTTTGATTTGCAAGATGGCGGTGAAGTTTTGTTATCATGCCGGGTTTATAGTTTTCTTAGGAGAGAATGTAGGTCAGTGTAAGTTTGTTTGTTTGTTTTATTCTTTTCTTTATTAGCTGTTCATATATTAAATACATCGTATTATATGCGCATGTAGATAGGTAGCCACATACACATCTCAAAATGTGGAATCTTATTACTTCGGGCCCGAGTAGGGCTGCATGTCTACATGCAGGGTAAGCATCTTGCATACATGGGATTGTTAAGTCATTATAGCTTTGAGATTAGATGGTGTTGTGATGAGCAAAGCAGCATCTAGAGAGTCGTAATTATATGGTGCGATTGTCTGGTGTGGAGTTGAACATGTTAGTGCAGACGTATTGATATTTGTCCTAGTTGTTATATCTTTATCTTCTTTTAACAATGGAGAGTGGTTATCTAGCGATTGAATGTAAATAAATTCATCAAGTGTCTGAAAAGTCCACGCAACATCCACGACAGTGACAGAACTGATAATATCAATATAAGATAACAAGAAATATCTCCATAAAGTCCCACAAAATTCATCTCCTAAACCAAACCAAACCACCCCATCAGAATTATTCTCTCGAGTCTCCACAAGTCACCAAACCACATTAAAAGGGGCACTCTCGCTTCGTACTCTCATCCTCATTCTCTTCTACATACCCACTACGCCACCCACAAGTTACAACCCTAAAGATACCCATCCAACAACCTTACTCATCAACTCATCCATATTCTCTCACTGTCCCATCTGCGCCACAGTCAAACACGAGATTTCCACGTATCTCCATCCACTGCGGCAGATAAACAACAATCCCATTCCATCCCACTCCCCCCACGGTTATCAATCCACCGCACAACAAATCACATACAAGAAACCGATATCCACAAGTTTTCCAACTCAGCCCCAATCTTCCATTTCCGTGCATTTCCTAGTACCATCCTCCTTTGGGATAACACAAACATTCTATTTCCAGTAATCTTCCCGTTCTCGGATTTCATTGGTCTCAAGCCCAATGTCCCAAAACATATCTGCGAATCAGATAAAGTAGCGGGGTCATCATTCTACGTCAGCAAGCAGGTATCCTGACTCAGCTTCCAATCATCTACTTTCGACCCTAGAGAATGCATGCTTTGGGATTGGAAGGTATGCTTGTTACGGTTGTTTCTGATGGCGACTGCAAGGCTGATGTGATCCGATTCATACGTCGGATGGGAACTGTCTGGAAGCTTCTAGAATGGTTGCTCGACTCGATTCAACGGTTTTCAGACAAGGAGAAATGTGATTTGGGAGTTTTCGAGTGGGGTTTGGTATCCTGATTGTTCTTATTGGGTGAGCTCTAGATGGAATTTGAATAGACATCTTGTATGGTTGCTTGTATTTTCTTTCTGGTGGAAACTGAAGGAATTGGCGACGTATCTTATAGGAAATGCACGATAAAAGGTGTAAACAGCGTCGCAAATCTAAATTGCTTTTGTAAAAGTATAAACCCCAGTCATATCCCAATCCATCAGTCCGGTATCCTTGTCGCCGTCAAAAAGTGCCCAGCCAGTTCGCAATGGTAATGTAAAAATCTAAACTCGAAAAACAACCTTGACATAATGTATCGCTCAACCAACATAGTAAATACCAATTCTTTAACTCCCAGTGCGTTGACCAGCAACGTCGATGATACAATGATCTAGATCATACCTCATGCAAAATCCCAATGCCAAACCCATGCCAATTCAAGAAGAAATCCCATACCCAGAACCTCGAGCCTTCGAACTTCCATTTCCAAAACAAGATAATGCACCAAACAAGTTCATAATCCAATAACTGATAACATGTTGCACATTTCGAGGCATATATCAAAATCTGTAAAACCTCGACCGAGTGTTTTTCCGAAATTCAAATCCGCGACACAACACTACAACAGTAACCGCGAGAATCAGGTCAGAACTTTCATGCTAGTAAGATGATGAATGCAAATTGCAGGTGTATCCGACGAGTATTGTTCTTTCTTCAACATAATGACCCGGTGTTCCGTACGCGGGACACATATCGATCGCGTGGGTGTAGTATATACATCTGCAAACAGAATAACGTTCGACGAGGACGTAGCACATGATCTTAGATTTGTGTGGTTTAACGATAATCGCAACGTTGAGGTGGGGCAGATGAAGAATTTATGAGGTACACTGGCGATATTGGTTGAGTTGTCGGGATTATCGAGAGGTATAGTCTGAAAAGGGGAAAGGGTATAAGATCTGCAAGCTGGAGAGGAGATGAATTTCGTCGATCATTGACATCTTATATAGCATCATTCTGCATCGGTCAATATAAATTTAGCAAGAGAGAAGGGTGCCTTGAAGAGCAATGATCCTTCAAGTCTTCGCCTCATTATTGTAGCTGAAGACTAAGGCTGCCATGACTATGATGACTTCTACCATTATAGACGTGACTCTTACGATATACGAGTGTTAAATCTACACAAGTAGTTAGGTCTATTCCAGGCTTCATGATAGAGAGCCGAGGTACGATACCCAACAATGGAGGTAGTTCCAACGAATTACGATGAACCTGAGGAGTAGCGGTAATCTGTTGAGAATAACACAAAACCGTTGACCCATTTCGGGAAGAGCAGCATGGCTTTAGGGGCTGAGTCTCTTGCCATTCAGGTCAGGCACAGTAATGACTTTGTAGACGTTCAATACAAAGCTTCCCATTGGAACGAGCTCGATCTATGCATTGCATCGCACCGCATGGAATTATGGTCATGTGTTTTGGAGTTCCTGGTGTAGATGCACAGCTGCAGCCCTATGGTAAGGCTGCAGAGTTCGTGTACTTGGTATACATTACACTTTCGGCCCTTCTGTTGGTTCTTAATCGGACTTTACTATTGAAGGTATTCTTCAAACGTAATATGATGCCTGAAATATGCGGTCAGCAAATTGTTCCACTTGCCTGCTGTTCTCTTGACATAGTGTTTATCATTGCCTGTTTCAATCGCCTCCAATTCTTGTGCTCGGAATGGCCGTCACAATGCATGCAGGGACTGCTTTTCCGAACTTGATTTGTTTGGTCAACATATAGCTGGAACCGGTAATGACTCCTGAGAGGTGATAGTTTGCATACGGCGTTACTCTTTTCCACAGAGAGCCTGCACTGCATTGTATAAGCTACCGGTACGCACCGAAGACTCGAGTCCGCATTTTTAGTGCTCTTCAACGTACTGATGAAGAAGTCTCACAGGATGAGCATACGACCTAGTATGTTTCCCATGTACCTATCATTGAGGCTTAGACTCCATGGATATCAGAATCAGGTTATACCGGAGGGATCTTTCAAAACCCACGAATTGCAGTATCTTTCTGTAAAGGCGGTGACTTGGCGCTGGTAAATGAAGAAAGCGTGAGCGTAACCGTGAGTAGCGATCATGCACAAGAGGTGGTGTAGATGTAATACGACTTCACCTCTGCAGAGACTCATGCAACTTCAGGGGTGTTACATCAGCTTTACCAATAATGAGTGTGACATATCTAGCGCGGCCAAATAGTTACTCCAATATTGATTCGATTGAGATTTACATATGTTGAATTGAAATCTTATAGAAATAGTTCTCAGCCTTATTTTGTCATATAAATGTACCAAGTCTAATTGGGACCCGAACGTTTCGTTGCCGATCATGCAAGCATGCATCAGAGTGACAGCTCGAATAAGCTTAAGTAGCATAGGATCTAGACGTTTCCGACGGAATCGGATAACCTGATGGAGGATTTGAGGAAGTAGAAAGAATGATAATTCGAGTCCACTTGACTTGGGCCACTTTCCTCGTGCTCTCAACCTATACTGGGATAGAATAGCATTATGAGAAACTCTGGTCAGCCCTGCCACATGGAAAATTCAGAGGGAGCCGACTGCCTGGAGGGAAGTCGTATTCGTGTAGCTTTGGTCTACATGAAAAGTGGTTGTGCTACCCCGGATAACGGAGATGTCAAGTAGGTGAACCGGCGGGGTGATATGTTGAAATCATTCTCTCAAGGCAAGGCAAATCGCATCAGCGATAAATTGATGATTTACAGCCATATTGTCCAATTTTAAGCCATTTTCCAATGCGCCGCGTGAGGGACTCCCTCTGTCTGTTGTATCGAATGTCGGTGAGCTTCAGATTGTTCTAATAGGGAAGGTGACATCCTCGAGACTCTTCTACAAATGAAAGTTAGAGTTACCTAAGTAAGCAAGCCAGGGTTACCTCATATGTACCAGATCACGTGATATATGGCTCGTCTCAGTTCTACACGTGCAACGCCTATCTACACTTGACTGCCATCTCATCTTTTCGAAAAGTTTATAACTGTCTATGAGTATCTATCTAGGTATTATCTGGTCATCTGAACCCACGAATATTGTTTCGCATCATGTCATCAAAACCCTTCATCTCGATTTGCATAGCAGTATGTTGAAGAAGCAGCTGTTGGAGGAAATATGCCATGCAGCGACGTGGTTGATAGCAAATCATGTTCTTCCAACGGAAACTGTTCTGAGATAATGGCTTCATGAATGAAAACATGTTTGGACATTTATTTGTAGCATCTTCTCACAATCAAGGTGTCGGAACAAATGGTATATCAATCTGCGCGTAAGTACTGCGCAGTCGAAGTCGCGTATCAATACCCAATTCCAGACCTTTTGATTCACTAGTCATCGATAGGGAGATATTATTTCTGCTACATAGCCCTCAACTAGTCTTGCGAGTTGTATTATTTTACCAAGGTGAGATTCACTGAATCGTCATTTCCAACAGTGAGGATTCAGAGTTTGATTGGTAAATCGTATTCACTTCTCTATTTAATGGGGGCAACGCGTGTGCTGATGGCACAGTTGCATTGTTATATACCATACGCCTCAATGAGCTGGCACTACTCAAATTGATTGTTTTCCTTTTATATAGGCTTTTTCTGGTCGGATCAATAAGGTTGTAAGCCACCGCTCCAAATAAAGCAATATACTCATTTCGCTTCATTACTGTGCCACCTAAAGGAAGCACGTTACCTAATCAGTCCAGCATATTTCAACTCCGTTTAGGATTTGTAGTTTCAAAAAAGAATAGGAAGACGAAGACAATAAGCACTGCTTATAATTGTTTTCGTGAGCCATACCCTTTATTTGTCTTGTCCCCATTTCTCTTTTCTTCTCCGCCTTGTTTCTATACAAAATCAATCTAAATTTGTCTGAAATGTTTTCGAAAAATCTTAGACTAAGGCTGTTGGCCTTGGTGTCAACGAGTATCTTGCTAAGCTCAGTAGCAGCAACGACAGTAGATGGCTGTGGAGCAGTTTCGAATGTCATCGAGTCACACAATCATGGTCATCCAACAGGTAAAACAAATTTCGTATACTTACAAGTGGTGACTAATTTGATCACCTAGCAAACACCCAAAGATTCAACGCTTCCATTGCTCTTCAATGCCTTCAATCCGTACCCCTGGATGTACAGCGCTCATCAGATTTTGTTGATTATATAGAGCCATTCTGGCAGTTCCAGAGTACTCTCGCCTATCTCAAAGATCCTCCATCAGGCTACCCGTTACCTGGCGTTGATATGCTAGGGGGCCTAGCTGAGATTAAAGAAAATGTCAATTCAGGGTATTATACAAACCAATGGGAGTTTGAAAAGGATCTTTATGCTCTGGGAAACATATTGCCTCATGATTTCCACGTCAACTTACCTCTTCCCCTTATGAGCGTCTTCTCCTTTTCTACTGCAGATGGTCCATTGGTATCAATATCATCCGACGGCTTAGCAATGCCAGAAATATATTTCAAATGTGCGTACAGGTTTCTCAACTTGGTTGATCATTGTCTAAGAGCTAACCTTGCATAGATGATCTTGATAAGCAGAATAACATGACACTATCCAAAACAGGTAATTGGACAGCATCACCACTGGTAAAAGTCAATGACCTGAATGCCACTTTATATCTTGAATTTCTCAGTCAGAGCACAAGTGTTTATCAAGATAACGATGCCAACTACAACCAAATGTTTTATTCGTTGCCGAATCTAGCCTTTTCTGGAAGCACTGGAATGTTTACGTCTGGAGCATATATTTATGGATTTTCGGCCGATGTTATTCAATACACTTTCGCCAATGGAACCAGCACAAGCGCCGAAATTTATGCATCAACAAGCCTCAATTTTACATCCATATCATCGGGACAAGATCTATTCAACGCTGTAGATCTACCGGAATCAGAATCATCATCTTCGAGTTCCTCAGCCTCAGACAGCCGACAGAGCACCAAAACTAAGACAGCAGCAAGATCAATTACATCACTTACCGGCTATCCACAACCAATAGTCATGCATCCGGACGGCTATACGAGCGGTTACTTTTTCGAAGATACCTTGACTGCAATTTTAGTAATGCAGGGGTTCAACGACCCTTATCAAAAGGATGGCAAAGCAGCAGTCGAACAACAAAGAGTGATTAGTGAGTTCTTAGCTGAATGTCAGAAGGCCCAAATGAAGTACTTGATCGTAGACGTACAAGCAAATGGAGGCGGTTATCTGTTCAGCGGATACGATGCTTTCAAACAGATTTTTCCATCTTTAGTTCCATTTGGAGCATCACGATACCGAGCCACCCCACTGGTAAATTATATGGGTACCATATTCACTGGTGCCGGAACTTACGATACCAGTCATGATTACCTTTTTCAGACACAATCAGAACTTGATGGTAATGGACAACCATTTCAAAGTTGGAATCAGGAAGCCCCTAACACGCCGATCTATGGTGACAACTTCACTGCGGAACTTCGTTACAACCTTTCGGATCAGGTTACGATGGTAGGTCGTTTCCTCAACCGTAACTAAATTCATGCTAACTACTTCCATAGTCCCAAGCAGGAGGCATCAATATCACAGGCTACCTAGACGAGAGCAACCCTCCCCCAGCGGTATTCAATGCCTCAAACATTGTGATGCTTATGGATGGCGGTTGCGGCTCCACGTGTGCTCTCTTCGCCGAGATGATGAAAGCTCAAGGTGGCGTGCGAAGTGGTACGTTAGTCATCAACTTGCTTTTGTTCTTTCCACTAACATTTCTATAGTTGCCGTTGGAGGTCGCCCACAACCAGGTCCTCAACAAGGAGTATGCGGGTCTAAAGGCGCCCAAGTACTGACCTACAATGGCATCGCATCTCAACTCGAAGCTCTACCAGACGCACAAGCAGCCTATCTTCAAAAAGGACTCGAATTGCCCGACTACCCAGCTCCCGAATATATCCCTAACATCAAAGCCAACGTATCCCTCGGATCTACATCAAGTCTGATGTCCGGCGGCCGTTTCAACCTTCGAAATAACATGCACGACGACGACGAAACATTCACACCCCTACAATTCCAATATGAAGCTGCTAATTGTCGTTTATTCTATACCAAGAATGATATATATGATATCACCGGCTTATGGATGAGAGTTCAATCGGTAGTATGGGGAGGCCAGCCTTGTGTTTCCGGTAGCACGATTACTGACGACGATACCATACCCTCCGGCGCCTACGACACCGTACCATTTAGCGACGCCGCATTACCGAATATTGAATTGCCAGCTCAACCGGGCTTGGTGCCTATTGGGAAGGGAGTCAAGAGTTGGGCGAGCGAGAGTGGAAACCGAGAAGAGAGTGCGCAGAAAGCTTTTGTGGGAGCGATTTGGAATGGATTGCTGTGATTCTTGGGGGAGTGTATGGAATTGGGATTTTTGAAATGGGAACACGTTGGTCTGCGTTATGGGTGTTGGTAAATGCATATGCGAGGCGTTTTGGGAAGATTGTCCATGGATAGAGGGCGGTTGATTGATAATATTACATCGGATGTGTGTTCAGCGAAGGCGTGGGGAGTAATAGCATCACGCGTAGTGGTGTGGCTTTATAATATAAGTTAATCAAGCCTACTTTTTCCATGATGTTTGTTGAACTTGTGTTTCCCTTGTCTCGGATAATAATGCTGGAGTGAAGCGTTCTGCAATGCAATATATTCAACTCAGCAGCGAGGATTGACATATTTGTAGAGTATATCGCTGAAATGTTTCCCAGATAGGAGCTAAATCCTTCTCTTATTTATTCAATTTCAAGTTTCAAGCTAGACTATTTCATAGCTACACATGTATAAAATGGCATGTCCATCCGCGCTTTTGAATCGCCAATTAATCAGCCCACCCTCGGGTATATCCTTAAAACGCCAATATCAACCTCACTAATTGTGCCTTGAATATCGAATTTACGTTCCCTCATCCATCGCATCCCCACCTTCCTCTCCCTCTCCATCTCCATCTCCGTCTCCGTTTTCTGGTGGCGCAGCATGACTCTCAAACATCCCTACGACTCTTTCTAAATCTTCTACTTCTCCGTTTCCGAGTTTCCTCCCCTCACCCTGCCATTCTCCATCTCTCACTTCACCTTGCGAACCTAACTCCAAACCTCGTACGTTTTCAAGATGTCGTCTCGTTTCCTTTTCAATGAATTCCAATCTTTCTCTTCTCCAACTCTTTTCTTGTTCTCCCACCATTCCAGCCATACCATCGCCCTCAGATAATTCTTTCAACCTTGGTCCTAGATTGTCCAGTAACTGTTTGAGCGCAGGCAATTGCGCCAAGGCAAATTCGGTCGTAGTCGCAATAGGATGTTTCCCATCTTTCGTCAAATTACCCTTCTTCTGCAAGAATGCTAATGAGGGTCGTTCATCATCCTCAACATCAACTTCCATCTCCGTGCCATCCTCAGCCTTGACAGTTTTCTTAGCCGAGCTTTGACTTGGCGATATGATGCCTTTCAACGCCGCAATAGTTCTTTCATTTCTCTCCTTCTCTGCCCTCAATACCGCATTCAGTTTCATCGTCTCCCTCAACCTTTTCCTCTGCAACGTAACCGTTTCCGACGTGGGCACTCCATCCGCTCCCGTACCATTTTCCTCCACACTCCTGAAATCCAATCCTTCATAATGGCTCAAGCGAATCCAATCCCTGACATCCGGCGGCACAGCAAAAACGTTTCTTAGCAAATAAATCTCCATCTTATCGAAATTCTTATCAATCTTCGCATTGAGCAATGTTTCCAACTTGTAGACTCCGTTTTCGATTTCGTGTTGACATTGCGTTGCGACTTCTTCGGCGGAGAGGGTGGAAGTGGGAGTAAAGCCAATTGAAGAGGGAGGAGCGGCGAAAAGACCTTTTTCGAGCGCATCGATGGCCCGGAAGGCGAGGAGATTGATACTGTTTATTATGTCGTCGATGACGGCCTGCGAGGTTGTTAGAGACAGGCAATATTGAATTTGCGCAGTATCGGTATGATCAAGTCTCAGTACTTACAATTGGTCTATATGTCAAATGCTCCGTGAGGAGAGCAGTGTCTGCGGCACTCATAGTTGTGGTAAATATTAGTTTGCGCCGGTGAGGAAAAGACAACAATGGCTAGTTCGGATATTCAAATAAGCAGCGGGAAATGTTAGAGAATCCCAAGACAAACAGTACAGATAATTAACTAAGTAATACCACAAGTAGAGAAGATTAATTCTACTGCGTGGGAAAACCTTGTAGAATTGAAGTTGAAGATGTTGACAGAGAATTGCGGGGGACGCGTTTGGCAGGGATATATTTTAGCGCGATTTCGAGTCTGGTACATTGTTTGCGCTCCCGGTGAACTCAAGTGCGACTCCCCGGTGACGCCTTAAATTTGGCGAAACCTTGGTATAGCTAATGATAAAACTCAATTATGACTACGTATTCAATATTTCTTTTTTGGAGAGAGGGGGGCAATAATTAGGTTCTATATCGGCGAAGAACTATATGTCTGAACTGCTTACCTATCTACTTGCTGTGTCCCAAAGAATCCCAAGAGAGGTTACATATGATGAGAGATGTGAAGTGTATTTTTTCTGAAGTTACGAACTTATTATTCATATTCTATTCTTCCCGGAAACCCAACAAAATTGTACTTTTGAAGATGGTGAATATGTAAGTAGTCTACTTGTAGTGAGATTTTCTATCTGTAAGTTTCCTTCACAGATGTGCAATAGCCCTGTTTGAGCGAGGGGAGTAAATCAAATGAGAGGAGTTTTCGCGTGCGTGTGAATGTGAGCAATCGAGTTGAAAATTAGAAGGGCAAAAAGTCATATTGATACTATACAATCATTAGGATCGCGGATTTTGGCTGACGGCAAGGTCATAGTCAATGTCGCCAGATTGTGATTGCTAACTATGAAAAAAAGTTTAAAGGGAATGGATATCCAAGTGAACGAGGAGCAATGTTTCAAACGTAAAATGACGACAACAACAAAAAGTACATGCCCCAAGACTTAGAGACATGCGGTACTAATACTCAAGGCGCAAACAGATAGATCTTCAAGAGAAGGGGAAGGAGAGACATTCAAACCATTGATCAAAATGTGTGGTATCCAGGCGCCAAACGATCATCAAGTCCGAGCTTGATAAACCCCAAGCCATAACCATAATCAAAACCATAAAACATAACGATCGTGTAAAAATATCCCGGGTTGATCTGCTCAGCATAAACCCAAATGCGCAAAGATAGTAGAATCCCCACAATACTTAGGGTAAACTTTCCCATGGCCCTTTGAATCTGGATTATTGGTTGGTGATGAGCCGGCACCAACACTCATGGTAGCTACAACAACCAAGCCAACGGTACGTGGATTGGGAATGTACAAGACATCACTGCCCTCTGTCACAGTTTCGTCACGAGCTACCAATGGGGTAGCCATTGCGTCCGTGATTGTGGTGGTGGGAAATCCATCCGCGAATGAGGGAGTTTCCGACACATATAAAGCTCGAGGTTCGATGCTTGCAGTGCTGGAATACTCACTACAGCCAGTCCCCCATATCTTGAAAGTCCAATCTCTACGTTCGATGGAACCAGTGGTAGTGAAAGCTGTGGGCGAGTCAGAGTTAAGCTTCAACACATCGTTATTGAGACTGTTTGGGATGTTTCTCCCATGCGTGGTTGCAAGGAGTAATGCGAGGAGGAAAGTAGCGACTTGAAAGAAGCGGTACATTTTGGAAGATAGGGGCGGTGGGTGATCAGGTGATCGTGCTGTAAAAGTGTGATGCTGATTCAAGGAGTATACTGTAGGGAGTCGAAAGAAAAAAAGAAGTCTGGCTTAGAGACTATGAACTCACATCGTTTTGTATACTTTTCATAGAGTAACAACTGGCATCAAGAGCAATCGAGCCACAGTTTTGGGAGCTCATACGTATATTTTCCATAATTATAGATACGATTGTTGGCAGCCATGATAACAGCTGTTACAGAGAAGAGCTGTAATAAGACGACCAAGTTTCTATGAATATAGCAACCAACAACATCTAAAATTGCTGTAATGATACTAATTGCAAGAGCATATCCAACTTGATGACAGCTCTTCCGACCCGGTCGACCTTTTTGCGGCCGGATGGTTGCTCAACTCCGAAGGCACCTGACAACAAACCACTCCGATAGTGACAGCGAAAGCTTATTTAGCAAAATGGGTATTGTTAAGCCATATCCAAGTCAGCTGGTTCTGCATTTGTAATGCTGCGCCTTCGTTATCTATATATGCGACTGTTTGTCTAATTTTGTCCAAGACACTGTCTTGTGCGGATAGGTTTTCCGAGTGTACAATCTACAAAACTCAAAAAAGGGGACCAAGATTGATTAGATTATAGATGACGGTGAGTATAATTTCCAAGACCGTACGACGATAATGTCATAGACGACACCATCTTATTTCTAGGAGATTGGACTAATTTCCTGAACTTTGGTGTCGAATCAATGGGCAAGTATCTGACAACGAGAAGTTTGCCCGATGATTTGGATAGTCACCATAGATCTCACATTGGTATGATAGTCATCGTTCACGAATCTACTGCATAGATTGAAGTTTGAAAAATAAATGATATGATGTGTAAGAGGGAGGTTTTTAATCGATTTAGGTTTTTACCCATAACCCAAAAATGGAGTGAGTGACAGTCAAACTATCCTCTCTAGCGGATTAATCGAGGTCCGAGAGTCCCCCGCCGGATAATGCCTTGAGAGAATGTCACAATGCGAGATTGTGGCGTTAACACTATTGACAGTGGCATGACTTCATAATTCGAGTATATTGTTATTGTTCAGAAGTACGTACCTAGGCAATTCAATTTTAGACACATCAGGGATTTTTTTCTGCTCGTAATTCCGAACGCATCGGGGGTGTCGGACTATATACCTGCGTTTGCATTCCCTTACGCCCCCAAAGCCCGTGTACCTGTCAGAATCTTGAAAGCTGACGGCAAAGCTTGAAACTGGAAATTTGTTACTCAAGGTACTTTCGGAGATATCACCAAATCCTTCGACGGCCCGAGACGTAGGGGTTTTCCGCCAATTAAACTTTTACCATGTTTCCATGTCATCGGGACAAGCTCTTTCGTGTGACACGGCATTGCTCTTCCACAGTAGCTCCTTCGTTCGAACTCCTCCAAGAACCGGCATGAAAATATAAAATGAATGATGGTGTGATAAAAGTCTTGGTCACCATTACCAAGTTGAACTTGTAAGAATTAGTCTACAATTAGTGGCGATTAGCTACGATTAGTTGCTAATACTGCCGGTGCTACTCAGCCTACAACACCCAGTTTTCCGAAACGAGAATCACCAGAACCTTATTTCGTAATCACGACACCTTTTTCTTCATCACAAAAAGGAATAACCATGTTGTGAAATCCATTTACAGGAAGAAAAGGAAAGCTTGTTGCTATATAATCTTTTCTTCTCTCACTCTGCACTATGTTCACACGCATAATTCCACTATTGTGTGTTTCGATGGCCGCTTGTCTTGTCTGATTCGTTCATTGTACGTACTCGGATGGTGTAATTTAATTAACATCCGACTAGACCTTGCGAACTCATTATGATTGTACTTCTAAATGTGGTAAAGTGATGAGGGGCTCCAATCTATTCAAGCGAGCTGCTTGGCCCATAAGACACGTTTCTCATATCGGTACCTTGCAAGTTCTAGCAGGGTGTATAAAAAACTTTAGTCTAGATCTAACTTTGGTACCTGATATCCGCTCCAGAGAGAAGGGGGGAGAGAAGAAGAAAGAGGAGAACAGACTCAACAGGAGAACGCCATCTGAGATCATGAATGCGCGGACAGTTCCGTTTTTTGGCCTGCAATAAGGATCACAGTTTCATCTACTTAGCTTAGAGAAACCCAATTGGATGGATATCAGGAAAAAGCCATTGCTTTTGCACATGGCAAGCTTCGTCTTTCTTGCTTTTCCCCCAGAGCTATCTACAAAGGTGTGCCTAGGTCCTGGTATTTTCGTATCCATTGATCGAAAAATTCTCCGGGTTGATATGGAACCGTGCCCTTCGTTCCCATTGTTTTATTTCTAGAAAACTTGTATCTACCTCGCGCAGTCCCCCAATACTTAGCCTTACGCAATTCGTACAATATTCTAGATCTGACCAACGCGTGGGATCTTGCCCATCACTTTTCATCTCTTCCTCTTGCTCTGGATGACGATGAAAATTCCACTAGAATTATTATGAGTTCTTCGCGCGCAGTTCACCATTTTGTATCCCCTGAGAGAGAGGTCAATGCCGGCATCTGGTCCCTTTTCGGCGGTGCGACTGTATGTCTTGTTCTTCGACTTTGGTGTAAGCTGAGGAGACAAGGCCTCTGGTGGGACGATTATATACTCATACTTTCCTGGGTGAATACACTTTTTCGAAATACATCGAGTCACGAACTTCGTCCAGCTAACCATCATATACTAGGTGGTTCTCCTAACGGCCGACATCTTTATATCCTACGAATTTGCGACCGGATATGTCGTCAAGACTTGGAATGATCGAATGTTGATTCTCGTATCCATATCATCCTGCCTCACTACCGCCGGCCAGACATGGAGCAAATCCGCATTTGCAGTGACTCTTCTAAGGATGACAAACAACTGGCAAAAATTTATTTGCGTAGCCACCCTCATCATCCTCAACGTCTTCCTCGTCCTTAAAGTCTTTGTAGATTGGTCCAAATACTGTGGTAAATCCGGATATCAGAACTGGTGGAGGATGCCCGGTTTCTGTGTTGATTACCAAGCAGCAGCTAACATCAAGGTTGGGGGAAATAGTGGGTGCCAAAATCCATATGATAAGATTGTCGATCACTAACGTTTCCCATCTAGTCTTCAATATTGTGGCAGACTTTGTACTGGCTCTATTCCCATGGATGGTCACATGGAAATTGAGAATATCTTTGAAAGAGAAGATCGCACTTTGCATCACGATGAGTCTTGGGGTTGTGGTCGCCATCATCTCAGCGGTAAGAACTGCTTGGATGGAAGATCCAAGTGTTGATGCCTACAATGATTATTATTTTTGTAAGTTTTGAAGAAACATCATCTTTACACTCCTTTTCAAGTTCCTTCCCTCTTATATTCATACAACCTCAACGCCCCTCCCATACTCCAACCAAATCATCCCCAATCTAACAAATCACCAGGGCGTCAAGGACTGTCCATGGTCTGGTATTCCGCCGAGGTCGCTGGCACCATCATCGTGCAATCCATTCCGCTAATGCGACCCCTCGTAAACGACATGCACACCTCTCTCGCCTCCAAAAAGCTGGGATCCGGCGCCGACGGCAAAAGTTACGGTCCGGGAAAATCAAGCAAGAGTACGAATCGACGAACTCTTACTCTTATCTTGCAAGGATGCGATGTAAAAGATGATGAAAATGATGTAGAAGATCAGAAGAGAGTTGATGTTGATCGAATGCATTTAACTCAGGATGAGAACGGGAAGATTGTACTTAGGAGGAGAACCGACTCGGGGGAAGATGTAAACGCGTATCAGAATAGTCGCGTGACGAATTCTACTAGGAGGTTAGAGGAGGAGGAAATAGGATTGACCGAGGATCAAAAGGACAGGATGGTGGTGAGTAGTGAATATCACGCTAATGGAGGATCGTTGGAGGATATTCCGGAGTATCATGCCCATGGAGGGCCATTGGAGGAAATCCCCGAGTACCATGCTCACGGAAGGCCGTTGGAGGAAATTCCCGAGTATCATCCTCATGGAGAGTCGCTAGAGGAGATACCCGAATACCGTACGATTGGAGGCAAAGAACATATCCCCATGACGGAATTTCATGCTGTCACTTGTTAATATGTATGTATATATCAAAATCATGTAAATAATTTCACAAAAAAAAAGATGAAAAGGTTCCAAAATTGTATCTTCTATTATAACGATGTCTATGAATTTCCAAATTTTCGAGAGTTTCATTCGCTAATGGTCCTTTGTGTACCGGTACCTGCATTCCCCTATATCCAAATATCTAAACCTCAGTCCCATGATCCTATATATATACATCAAAACTTCGCCACCCTCTCCTCATACGCTCTCCGTTCCTTTTTCATTACCCTATCGACCCAAAAATAACTCGTCGTCGCCCAAATGGCCAAATAAGCAAACAGCACCCCCAACGACAACCCAAACGCATAATGAAATTCCAGCGACCAAATGACCGCGCTCAAACAACCCAAATAAACCATGACGCCAAAAATCCACCACAGCGTCAGATGTAAAAACATTCTTCGAAATCCCGGCGAAGAATCATATCGCGCATTATATCGCACTCGAAACTCTCGGTCTTGCAGACCGTCCACCGCGATGAAATCTTCCGCCGCATAGTATATAAATGGACGCATAGGGGAGCCCCGCGCGTGAGAATTAATACCGATAGGAATTTTAAAAGGGATAAGTGAAATCACCATGACAATGCCGAGGAAACTCATCAGGAAGCCCGGAGAATAGAGATACAGCTCCGGAATCTCGAGTTCGCTTCCTACCACAAACGGGATGAGCGCCATCAGCATCGAGACACCATATACCCAGGACGTGGCATCTAATTCCCATTTAGATCTCGAGAGCAGCGGAGCACAGAGGTCGCGATACTTGAGAAGCCGTAAGACGCGCACGATCAGGATGTAGAGTTCGCCGAATCCGAAACAGATGATGGCGTAGCCGAGAATGTCTTTGTCGTATTCTGGTTTTTCGAGTGGACATTCGTTTTTGGGATATGCTTCGCAGGATTTGGCCCAGCGGGCGCGATGGATGTCGAACCAGACGTAGTATATTATGCATGGGAAGACAATATCGGATAGGAGGATGACGGCCGGACCGATGGTGATGGAGAGGTGATCTGTTGGTTTCGGATTTTTTTGTGCCAGTTTTTCATAAG